CCCCAAAACCCCAAAACCCCAAAACCCCAAAACCCCATTGAATACATTTTATTTTATGCCTGTTACTAATTATAAAATGATTTAAATATACTTTATATTATTATGGTCTTATTTTATCTTATACAAAATTTTGGTTGATCTGTTTGTTCTAAGAATCCTCTTAGAACTTAACTTTCAATAACTGTCTCTACTGTCTGATCTATTATACTTATTATTTACATTGCCTTTAATATTCCTATTCTTTGAGTACTGACTATTATCCCCATCTTCATCAAGCGCCTCAGTATTAAGGTAAGAATCAACTTTTAAAGTGTTTCTCTGCGATTGATAGTTGCTATCAAGATCTTCGTAATTAACCTTCTTGTTCAAGACTGCAGGATGATTATTCATTTCACTCTACATTGAATCTTTTCCATCCATATAGTTTTGGTTGTAATACTAGTCATCGTTGTTATTTTACTAGTTTGCTATCTTGTTGAGTTTGCTATTCAAGTCTCCCTTCTTGAAATATGAAGATCCTCTCTCATAGCTTTCCATTGATCCATTAGCATCTCTCAATTAATCAAATTAAGAACCAATGTCTGATTAGCCATTATTAAAATCCATTCCATCATCCACTTTTATACCATCACTATCCTCATTTGTAAGTTTTCTCTATTTTCCTCCAAATTTATTTGAATTATCTTTCATAGTTGTAGTTTAAGGGAAGACTTTTTAGTTAATGGACTAAGCATATTGTCTTGAGTGATCTTTGCCCTAATTATTGCTTTCTAGTTTTCTCAAATAATTAGACTCTTAATCATCTTCATCATCTTCGACAACTCTCACCATGCTTGTGTCTGTGAATTAAGATCTGGTTGAACCTTAAGGGATTCTATTGATAATTGTGCCAGATCTATCAGACTGCGAAGCATTGTCGATCCTTCTAAGCTCAGTGTCATGTGAATACATTGACTAATTATCACCCATTCGGTTCATCTCAGTGTCATCTGATTACCCAGATGGTGTGACTATCCTTTGAATTTCAGATTAATCATCTTCATACTCCTCGTTTTTAATTTAGCCCTGGTATTCATCCTGTGGAATCTAAATTTCTAGGTCTTTTTTGACAGATGACCTGGAATTGTAGCCCTGAGCAGAATAATTCTAATTGGATTTGTTCTGATTGGTATCATTTGCATGCACATCATCACCTTTCTTGACATAATCAGCCAACTTGTTCTAGTAGGTGTTGTTTCCATAGCTCAGACTCCCTCCCATTTCATAGCCATTGTCATTTGAACCCAAATTCGTTGAGTTTAAACTCTGATTTGACATTGAATTAATTCCTCCTACTAATTCTTTGCTCTTGGTCGGATGTGGTTATGGTTTCATCTGAGACTCAAGATTCTTGCTCATTCCTATTAAAAAATCAATGGATAAAGCAAGTCTGAATAAGGTTATGATTATTACTTGAGTTATTTCTAGTTGAATCCATATAGGATTAGTTTTAGTCTCTCTAGTCTTAAGACAAGCAGCTGCAACTTCCTCCCATTTTAAATATATAAAATGCTAATAATTATTGATATCGCCATATCTCATAAGGTAATTTCTTTATCTATTGCTACAATTGTAATTTGCGGGGTTTTGGGGTTTTGGGGTTTTGGGG